CAGGCCTTTTTTCTAGTTGGAAACAGTTCAGGGCTGGCTGTGGCCATTTGGTTTTAATTGGAAACTGTCTCTTTAAATTTCGAGGAGATCTGTGAGCATGCGTAGTAGAACCCTCCAAGGGTGGGGCTGGGGTGCCCACTAGCTCAGGCACCCCTATAATCACCAGAATGGAAGTGCACAGATAGCAAGGGACCAATGAATAATACCAAAAGAAAAGAATGTCCACACCTTTATCTCAGCGGTTCTGCCAGGCATCTGTTGCTGCTTCGCTCCTTCCCCCACATGGTCTCTCCCAAGATGGTGACTCTTGGAGCAGCCGAGCGTCCCAGACTAGAAAGCAATGGATTCCTTGCTTCTGCCACAAATTCCCCCAGCTGTGAACCTTCTAAATATTCCTTTATATGTGGTTCAGAGTTCTGGGACCAGCCCCTGAGCCTGCTTGGTTGGGTATTTTGTGTTGTTGCTGTCGGAGCTCCTTTACTGCACTTCCAGCCAATCTGCCATCTTGTTTGTTCTCTCGCTAAAGGGCATTTTTGTATGTGGACTGGGTGTAAAGTCTGGTGAAAAGTGGACAATACCTAGAAGAGAGGCCGAAAACCTCACACCAAAATCCAGGTCTCACCCTTACAGAAAATCTTGCCCTATGTTTCTGTGGGAACTGGATCTCCCTGATAATGCTTGGTTGCCATGAGAATTCAGGTATTTCACCAGGCTTCTGTAGTATACCAGCATTCTCATCTTTGGTTAGTGATGAGGTTTGACTTTCTGAGCTGTTATCTTCTCTTAAAAAACCCAATTAATGAATCGGCGCCTTATTCCTCACTGTCCTCTTAGAACTATGCTGATTTTGAAACATTTATTTTTTTCAATCAGGATTTTAGTGACTCTTAGCAACACTGGCCCTTGTAACCTACTTCATATTTATCAGAAGTTCAAGCCTGTAAACTCTGTCAGGTGAAGATTTTGATATATATCAATTGGATCTATCTCACAATCTATTTAGTTGTATTTATTTACTTTACTTACACAGTCCTGGTGTGGCACTTTAGGATAATCACTGAGCCATAGGGTCGGTTTGAACCGCAAGGTTGGTGATTCAAACTCACCAGCTGCTCATCGGAGACCTCATATAGGGTTGCTATGAGCCAGAACCAACTTGATGGTATTTAACAAGAGCATATTTTTATTTATTTGTAAACTTGAATTGCCACACACTGAGAGAGGTCATTTCAAGTCAAGCACTGATAATTTTTGTCTGTTTTTCTTTGTGCTTATGTCTTATAAGATCATATCTTTTTTTTTTTTTAGAACAACTCAGCAAAATAAAATTCCAGTTTATTGTTGGACAACATTGTTTCACACATACATCAAACAGGCCTAAATAAATAAATAAACAAACAGCAACTTCATAGACAAAAAAAAAAGGAAAAGAAACTTTATCTTTGGCCTTTTTAAACCATCTCATACAAACCAACTACTTATAGTACAGCTAAGTACATACACACAAAAAAGTTACTGGAATGCTCGGAATAAGATTGTAATTTTTTGTTGTTGTTGTTTTTGCTTTTTTTACAAGGTTTTTTTTTCTCCTTTGAGATTATAATGAACACGGTCACACCACAAATGAAGTCAGAATTAGGACAGAGAAGGCTCCAAAGGCTGGTTTGGTCATCCAAGATCATTAAAAATGGCTGACCCCTAACAGTATGTACAAAAATATAAAATGTAAACAAAAAATACAAACAAATTTTCCTTTTTAAAGTGCTTTTAAGAAAAAAAGCAGGGCCTTGGAAGTTTTGGTTTTTTTCTCCCCTGTTGCAAATTCACGTTGTGGTTTTGGTTGGGTGGTGGTGAGCGCTTGTTATCTGCAGGTGGCGCTGCCCAAAGTGGACGGGTGGGACTCTCTACTCAAAGGTGACCACGTTTAGATTCTGAGACAGGAAGTGGAGGGTGAATAGGTCACTGTGACCTTTTAAAATTTAACTTTTCCTTTTTTGCTGTCTAGTCATCCTCATCGGTCTTCTGCTTCTTGGTGTCAACATCATCATCCTCATCATCTTCAGCTGCCCGTTTGCCTGTAGCTGCCTCGGCCTCCTCATCTTCATCTCCATCTTCTTCCTCACCATCACCTTCTTCCTCTTCCTCCTCCTCCTCCCCACCTTCTTCCTCTTCCTCGTCTACCTCATTGTCAGCCTCCTGTTCCCCATTTTCCTCGTTAGCGTTCCCATTAGCGGGTGCGTCTCTTCCATTTTCTGTTTCCTTCACAACCTCCTTCTTCTCCTTTAAATCCTTGGTGGTGATCTTGGAGCTGGTGTCCACAGCCCAGCCGCGTCTGACATGATGGGGTACGCTGGTGATCCGATACAGAGGATGACAAAGAGTGCGAGAGTTCGCGGACTCTGGCGAGAGAGGTGCCGGAGGAGTCCACAGCGGCGGAGAAGAAGGAGCGCGGCGGAGGTGGCTACTGGGAGCAGAGAGCCGGGGAGCAGAGAGCCGGACCCACCCGGGAACAATGCAAAGATGGTTTTTCAGAGCAGCCAGTGGGGAGATAAGATCATGTGTTTTGCAATCAATTGTACCCTCATTTGCCTTGTTTGGTGTCCCCAGGTGACACAACAGGTAAATGCACTTAGCTGTGGGTTAATGCACCAGAATGCAAAGCCGTTTGAACTGCAAGGTCGGTGGTTCCAGCTCACTAGCTGCTCCTCGGAAACCCTATACAGGGTCACTATGGGTCGGAACCAACTCGACGGCACTTAACAACAACAACAATAGCTGAAAGGAGTCCTGGTGTAGCATTGTAGGATAAGCACTGGACTGCTAACCAAAAGGTTATACAGAATTGTTATGAGTCAGCATTGACTGGACAGTACTTAACAACTAACTAAAAGGTAGGTAGTTTACCCATCAGCACACGGGAAGAAAGACCTGAAGATCTGCTTTTTAAAGGTCACAGCCATGAAAATCCTATGGAGTTCAGTTCTACTATGCAGGATAGGGAATTGCCATGAGTTGGAACCAATTTAACTGCAACTGGTTACGTTTTGGTTTTGCCTTATTTACTGGGAGCTCTGATAGTGTAGTGGCTATGAATCGGGCTGTGAACTTTAAGGTCAGCAGTTCAAAACTACCAGCCGCTCCGCAAGAGAAAGATGAGGCTTCTGTTCCCATAAAGATTTACAGCCTCCGGAAACCCTGTACAGGGTCGCTATGGGTCGGAAATGACTTGATGGCCCTTAACAACAACAACCCTGGTGTAGCACTGTAGGATAAGCACTGGACTGCTAACCGTAAGGCTGGTAGTTCAAACCCACCAACTGCTCTTTGGGAACTCTATATAGGGTCGCTAGGAGTCAGAACCGACTCGATGGCATTTAACAATAACAACAACAGCAACTCTTAATTCATTCAGTTCTGGTTTTATGATCGTCAGTACTGATACTTTAAATGTATTATTTGCAATAGCCTGGAGTATCAGTCAAGATGGGATAGGTATACTGAGGTAACAAACAAATCTTTTATACTTTCCACTATACAGTATTAATTTCAGGATGCAGTTTCTATTTAAGATATTGCTAGCTCTTAAAGCATTTGCTTAGATGTAACAGAAAATGTAACGTAAAGTGATTTGACAGTACTGGGATAAAATGTATCTGCCAAATTCACAGGGCAGGATGTCCTGGATTTGAGACCTGGTTTAGAAGTAAGAAAGGGACAGGACTAGCAAGCCCTATCTCTTTGTGAAGCAGGCCAGCAGACCAAAATCTTCAGAAAAACAAGTTTATTGCAGCATAGAATGCTCCCCGAACAGTGGCGACTGGTTTACCTCGCCACTGAGGATCGTTGAGGAAGTAGTTCTTCCTGGTCCCAGATGCCCTCCCCCAGGAGCAGGCTGATGCCACACTTTACTGATTATCTTAATAAAGAGAATGAATATTCACTTAATTTTTTAGTAAAGGGGTACAAGCTTTTTTTAAGAAAGGGAAGCTACCCCTTTCTGTTTCCTTCATGGTTGACTGCACCTGGTTTTAGTTTCTCTGATTGGCTGGTTCTGCTTGATTTTCTGCTTGTTTTTTTGGCCATTAAGGTTCTTTCCCTTTGTGGTTGATTGGACCTGGTGTTGTTTTTCTCTGTCATGGTCCCAGGTCCTGCTTCCTTTCCCCCTTATTCTTGCCCATAGATTGATTATAAGCCCTTGATGGGCTAGCTGCCCAATTCTTTACCCTGAACCTGTCAACTGACCAAGTCCTACCCTGCCCCCTTAATCTCACCCTGCACTTGTCAGTATCTACCATATCAATAAAAGTTTATGGTCTAAAGTAAACAATATTAAAATAATTTCTGCTTATGAAACATGTCACACATAGTTCAAGGTAATCGTATGGTCATAATTGAGTTAAACTGGAATGTATAATACTGCAAATAAGAAAAGTGTCAGTGAATGTTTTGAAGAATAATACAATTTACAACACTTGGTATACCAAACACCAAACCCAATCCATTGGTGGTGAGTTCATTACAATTCATAAAAACCCTAAAGGACAGAGTGTAACTGCTCCATAGGGTTTCTTAGGTTGTAAATCATTACAGAAAGACTATGCTATCTTTCTTCCTTGGAACAGCTGTTGGAGTGAAACCACCATTTTGATTAACAGCCATGTGCTGCGTTGAATACCTTGTTTTTTTTAATTTCGACATGGTTCAATCATTTAGTTAATTAGGTATGTCTTATGAATGCAGCTTAGAGTTAATAAACATTAACTCTATGAATAAATATTAATTCAATCAGAAAATAATACATTCACTTGCTGAGAGTGGAGTGTTGAAATGCCTAACTTTAAAATGTTTTAGTTGATGTTCTCATGGCACGTTAAAAATTGATGACCATCTAATGGTCTTAAAAAAAAAGTTTCAGTGTAAGTTTTCTGTAACTCTCATTCACTCCTTCTCTTCCTATACCCAGATAAAAAACTAATCTCCTTTTGTTTCATTGGATTTACATTTTCTAGAAATTTCATAGGGTTTTCATGAACATTTGTGTTGACAAAATAATCACAACAATTGACTACAATATTCCAAAGATCATGAAGATGTCACAAAACTGGACAATGTTTTGTTCTGTTATGTATAATATCTGCATGAGTTCAAGCTGACAAAATGGTAACTAATAACAACAGATATTTAATAGAAGTGGGATCATTCAATATTTGTCCTCTTGTATCTGGCTTATTTCTCATAGCATGATGTTTCCAAGGTACCATCATTGTTGTGGTATGTATAGCTGAACATACATGTACACACTACATTTTGTTTATCCGTTCATCTGTTGATGGGCACTTTGGTTTTTATACTTTTTGATTATTGTAAGTAATGGTGCAATAAACTTTGAAGTGCATGTGTCTATTTGAGTCACTGCTTTCAATTCTTTATTAGGAGTAGACATGGTTAGGATTCCTTATGTGGTGCTGTGGGTTAATGTGCTGGACTGCAGGGTCGATTTGAACCACAAGGCTGACAGTTCAAGCTCACCAGATGCTCCTTAGAAACCCTAAACAGGGTTGCTATGGGTTGGAACCAACTTGGAGGCTCTTAACAACAACAGACATGGTTGGGTGATATGATATTATGATGTTTCATCTTTTGAAGTACCAACTAATTCTTTTCCACAGTATCAGCACCATTTTATATGCCCAACAGCAGTGTATTACTTTTCAATTTCTCCACATCCTAACACTTATGATTTTTAATTTTTTTGTTTTGATAATAGCCTGCCAAGTGGATGTGAAGAGATGCATCACTGTTTGTTTGTTTTTTTTTTAAGTTTTTATTATGAATTGAGTGATAGTTTACATGGGAGAACATCCGCTTTACATTCATCTTATCATATTTCATTTCATTGCAATGATTACAGTCCCTTCCATGCATCATCAAATAACCAAAGGCTGGAACTCCAGAGGGTATTGTTGTGAGTCAGTTGTATGAACACAGTTGCTTCCTCCTGTCAGGTGGGGCAAGAGGCAAAAAACAAAACCAGGAAAGCAAAATAGAACAAGCAAAAAAGCAAAGAACAGAATATAATGAAGGCGAAAAATGGGCAGCAACAAGAAAAAAAGAATAAGTAAAACGAGAAAAGAGGGACAGGAAAATAGAGTTGTATAACAGAAAAATGATGTTGTTGTTGTTGTTGTCAGGTGCCATCGAGTCGGAACCGACTCATAGCGACCCCATGCACAGCAGAACGAAACAGTGTTCGATCCTGGGCCAACCTCACTACCGCTGCCACACTTGAGTCCATCAATGATGCCACCTGGCTGATCCATCTCGTTGGGGGTCTTCCTCTCTTTCTCTGACCCTCCACCCTACCCAGCATGACATCCTTCTCCAGCGATTGTGTTTCCTCCAGACAATATGTCCAAAGTAGGAGAGACGAAGCTTAGCCATCCTGGCCTCCAAGGAGCACTCTGGCTGCACTTCTTCCAAAACAGATCTATTGGTTCTTTTGGCAGTCCATGGCACTTTTAGTATTCTCCTCCAACACCACAACTCAAAGGCATCAATTCTTCTACGATCCTCCTTATTCACTGTCCAGCTTTCACATCCATATGAAACTATTGAAAACACAATGGCCTGGGTCAGGTGCACCCTAGTCCTCAAGCTGACATCTCTGCTCTTCAACACTTTAAAAAGTTCCTGTGCAGCAGATTTGCCCAATGCAATACGTCGTCTGATCTCTTGAGTGCTACTTCTGTGAGTGTTGATAGTTGATCCAAGAAGAATGAAGTCCTTGACAAGTTCAATGTTTTCTCCATTGATAAGAATGATAGAGAAAATAAAAGGAAGAGAAAAACCAAACACACAAAACACTAAAAAACCAGCGAGAAGGAGAATGAGAATAGGAGGAAACTAGAGAGTAGTAAAGAAAAATCAAGAGGAAATAAGACGAAGGAGAAGAGGGTGGAAATGATAAACAGGAGAAAAAATAAACAAAAACAGAGATTGTTGTTGTTGATAGGTGCTATCGTGTCATTTTCAACATATAGCAACTCTATGCACAACAGAATGAAACACTATCCAATCTTGCACCATGTTCACAATTGTTAAACTTGAGCCCATTGCTGCTGCCACTATGCCAGTCTGTCTCGTTGGGGGGGGGGGTGTCTTACTTTTTTTCATTGACCCTCCACTTTACCAAACATGATGTTCTTCTTCAGGGACTGGCCCCTCCAAATAACATGTCCAAAGCCATACATAGTATTTTCAGTAGTTTCATAGGCATGTGAAAAGTGGATAATGAACAAGAAAGGCCATAGAAGAATTAATGCACTTAAGTTATGGCAGTGAAGAATATTGACTGAAGGGTTTCCTTGGAAACCCTACATAGGGTCAGTATGAATTGTAACTGACACAGCAGTATTTAACAGCAACAACAACAAGTATGGAGAAGGAGTCGTGTCATTTCTGCTTCTAAAGAGAATTCTGACTATATTTCTTCCAACACAGATATGTTTGTTCTTCTAGCAGTCAATATCCTTCTCCAACACCATAACTCAAGTGCTTTAATTCTTCTATGGCTTTTCTTATTCATTATCCATCTTTCATGTGCATATGAAACTATTGAAAATACTATGACTTGAGTAAGGCACACCTTAGTCCTCAAACTGATATCTTTGCTCTTGAATATTTTAGAAGGTCTTTTGCAGTAGATTTGCCTAATGCAATACATCATTTGATTTCTTGACTAATGCTTCCATGAGTGTTGATTGTGGATCAAAGCAAAATGAAGTCTTTGACAGCTTCAATCTTTTTCCCATTTATCATGATGTCATTTATTGTTCCAATGGTGAAGGTTTTTGTTTTCTTTACATTTAGATACAATCCATACTGAAGGCTGTACTCTTTCAGCTTCATCAGTAGGTATTTTGTCTTTGCTTCCAGCAAGCAAGTTTGTGTCATGTGCATACTGTATGTTTCTAATGAGTCTTTCTTCAGTTCTGATGCCACATTCTCCTTCATGTAACCCAACTTCTCAAATCATTTGCTCATCATACAGATTGAGTAACTATGGTGAAAGAATACAGTCCTTTCCTATGTTCTCTTTCCTGATGTCCAAACATTCATTATGCCCTTGATCTGTGCTGATGACTGCCTTACGTTCTATGTACAGAAAAATAAATATTAAGTGCTCTGGAATACCCACTCTTTGCAAAGTTATTCATAACTTATCATGATCCACACAAAACATAAAAGCCTTTGCATAGTAAATAAAACACAAGTAAATATCTGTATGATATTATCTGAGTGCAGAAAATATCCATCTTAAATAAGAAATAAAATACATCATTCCACGTCCTGTTCTCAATCTGGTTTGAATTTCAGGCAGTTCTCTTGAATTTTGGCAGCCATTTAAAACTTGTCTTCAGAAAAATTTTATTTGTATGCTACATGATTTGGACTTTCCATTTGGTCACTTTTCTTTGGAATGGGCCCAAATTCCACTTGGTTGGCTAGATGAGTGAGCGCCTCAAGTGCTGCATCAATTTGTTGAAATATTTCAATTTGTACTCTGTTAATTCCTGGAGACTTGCTTTTCGCTGCTGCCTTCAGTGTATCTTGAACTTCTTCCTTTAGTACCTCTTGAAATGGTTGAACGTCAACCAATTTTCTTTGATTCAGTGACTCTCTGTATACCTTTCCTCTTCACTTAATGCTTTCTGAATCATTCAATGTTTGCCCACAGAATTGTTGAGTGTGTTCTCTACTTTGGGTTTTCTAACTCAAGGTCTTTTCACATATCATTAAATACTTGGCTTTGTCTTCTTATTTTTTAATGATTTATTGTGAATTCTGTGATTGTTTACAGGGGAGAACATTAGCTTTACATTCATCCTATCATTGCCATGATTACAATCCCTTCCATGCATCATCAACCAACAAAAGGCAAGCCGGCTACTCAGTTGTTATCACACAGCCCCTCTCCCTCTCTGGGTCTAGAGTCCCCAACCGCTCCATCTCTCCACATCATCATCTCTGCCTCCATGTCTGGCATCACTGTTTCTCTGGGTGGGGTCCTGCACTCCGCTCTTCTCCCTTGATGGTCCCAGGGACTTCGCTCCTGGATTGCAAAGTCAATCATTCCCCTGCCTTTGCTACAAAACGTCTACCTTTACATTTCCAACCCTCACAGTCAGTCCTGATAGCAATTATTCACTATTGTACCACAAGACTCCTATCCCCATCTCCTTTCATCAGCCCCGCCCAGACAGATTGTATACTACTCAGTGGAGATTCTACCTTCCTCTGTGCCCTTTGGATCTAGGCTCCCTCTTGAAAGCTTGTAAGTAAGCCAGTCACTTCTTGCCTTTGTAGCACCCCCATTTTGGGTAGCCAATGTCCAAGTTACCCATCCCTGTTTACCCTGTGTATCGAGGGAGTGGGAATGATACTCATGTAAAGATTTGTTCCCTCTTTGGAGCTATTGCATCCATAGATGTAGGTCAAGTTCATCAAATTTTATCAGATTACTCTTTTTTTCTTCTTCAGTTGAGTTCTGATCATCCAGCCACTGAAGCCAGGTCAAGTGGGTATTGTCTGCAAGTGTAGGTGTTCTTGTGCATATCCTCTCGCTTCTTATCAGCTAGATGCTTCACTCTCCACTCTAGTCCTCTGTGGCTATGTCACTGACTCTGGGCCCACAAGTTCCCAGATCTTGCCATACTGCTGGCCAACCAAGTCTCCACCCGAATTCACAGGAGTCTATTGAACATGGTAGGACATAGTTCACAGCTTCATTGCTGTTTTTCCATCACTTCCTCTTATCGGTGACCAACATGGTCACCAGTCAGATCACATGTCTCCTCATGCAATCCACCGTAGTATGACAAATTGACAGACGAGTGGTGGACTTCTTCCTTACTAGGGCCAATAATGTCATCAAAGTATTGGACCAGTGTGATATCTTCTGTAAGGAAAAGGAAATCAAGGTCTCTGAAGACTAAATTATGACATAGTGATGGAAAGTTAATATACCCTTCAGGTAGGGTGTTGAAGGTGCATTATTGCCTCTGGTAGCGTAGTGGTTACGAATTGGGCTGCAAACCGCAAGGTCAGCAGTTTGAAACTACCAGATGTTCTGCAGGAGAAAGATGAGGCTTTCTGCTCCCATAAAGATTTCCAGCCTCGGAAACCCTGTACAGGTTGCTATGAGTCCACGGTACATAACAACAACAACAACAGCAAAAGGCAAAGAAAGAGTTTCTGATGGTGCTTTGAAACTAGAATTGAGAAAAAGGCTTTGGTGAGATCAATAGCTGCACATCAAGTACCAGGAGATGTGTTAATGTGCTCAAGCAATGAAAACACATCTGGAACTGCAGCTCCACTTGGTTAAGTTTGTGATGATCCCCATCATTCTCCAAGACCTATCTGATTTTTGCACAGGCCAACTATGTGAGCTAAATGGGAGTGTGGTGGAAATCACCACCCCTGCATCTTTCAAGTCCTTGATGGTGGCATTAATCTTTGCAATCTGACCATTTTTTTTTCTAGGAAGAGGTAGTTCTAATGACTTCCACTTGGTTTTTCCTAACATAATATCCCTTATCCCACATGTTACAGATCCAATGCAGGGTTTCTTTCAGTTGCTGAATATGTCTATTCTGATTACACATTTGAACAGGAGAAATCAATACAGGATGGGTTTGAGGACCTACTGGACTCACTGTGAGGTTGATCAGAGCTAAAACTCCATTAATAACCTGACCTCCATATGTCCCAACTTTGAGTGGTGGGCCACAATGATGTTTTCGGTTCTCCTGGTATTAGTGTCAATACAGAGTGACTATCCAGTAGTCCCTGAAAAGTCTGATTATTTCCTTTTCCCCAGTGAGCAGTCATTCTTGTAAAAGCCTGTAGATCTCTTTGGAGAAGGTTTGGGGAAAGACTACTGTATACATTTTTGGCGGTGTCATGGGGTCCGTCCTCAGGGTGATCCAACTTACCCTTCATTCAAGGGATTCTGGGTCTGTAAGGTGTCTTTGTGTGGCTCTGTAACATAAGCACTCAACCACATGGTTGGTTGGAACCACAAGGTTGGTGGTTCAAACTCACCAGCCTCTCCTCAACACTCTATAAAGGGTTGTTATGAGTCAGAACTGACTCTACAGCACTTAACAACAACAAAGTGGTTTATGTCTGGGAATTGATTGAGGAGCCTCTGACAATTCAAGTTTGACTACTATTCACTTACCTAAAATTCTTCCACTTTTACATATCAAGTAAATATTCAGTAGGTTTCCCATCTATTTCACTTCTAAGGACATTCTGTTTAAGTGACTAGTGCCATAAGTGCACAAGAGCCAGACTATTCTGATTACTGCTTTAACTATGCTCATTTTGTTTTTGTAGATTTATTGAGTGTCGTTGAGTTGGTTCTGACCCACAGTGACCCTGTATAGGGTTTCTGAGGAGTGACTGGTGAGCTAGAACCACTGACCTTGCTGTTCAAACTAACTGTGCAGTCCAGTGCACTACACCAGGATTCCTTTTGCAGACTGAGTACTGACAATTGGCCTCTACCACCAGGATGTTTAATCAACCCCATTGTAGTTAGGTACCCTAATTCAATTAGGGTAGCTCCCACTGTCAGCTGTCAGATCTGATTTGCACAAAATTACAACCACAGAAGTCTTCAAGGAGGCTGGGGTTCCTTTCACAAATTTGTTCTTCACTGTTGTGGTAAAAAATGTGTCCTCTAGGCACTCTATGTGTGTGTCTTTGGGTCTATTCAGATAAATCCACTCTAACATTCCCATTTTCCTAGCTCTTTGGATACCTTCTTCTACTGTATACCAAGGCAGGTCTGGTACTTCAGCTTGATTTAATGTAGGCCACATGCTTCAGTGAACCAACCAAATAAACTTAGTCCCTCTCCCAACCTCTGCAGCTGAAAATGAAAAATACTTACTCAGTGGGCCCACATAAATAAACTCAGACTGACCCAACTTTGTGTTCCTTGCACCATTAATCCACACCCTTAATAGCCATTCCCACACATTGTCCCGCATCCTGATGTTGCACTGTAGGATAAGCTATGAACTTATAACCACAAGGTTGATGGTGCAAACCCACCAGCTGCTCCTTGGAAACCCTGTATAGAATCGCTATGAGTCAGAACTGACTCAGCAGCACTTAACAACAACAACAACACATTCTCCAGGTTTCTATTTGTACATATTAGAAAAATCAAGCAGTTCTTTTGGAGTGTAGCATACCTCTTTCTGTGTCACAATTTGTACTTCATTTTTGGGGGGATTTCTGGTACTTACGTCTAGTTGTTGTTGTAGTTAAGTGCCGTTAAGTCAATTCCGACCCATAGCGATCCTGTATAGGAGTTCTGAGGAGCAGTTCAAAGCGACTTTGCAGTCCAGTGCATTAACCCACAGCACCACACCAGAGCTCCATAAGTCTAGTTATAGGTCTAGAAATAATAATTAGAAGTGATTTTATCTCCTGGGAATATTCAATAATGTCTTGTAAAACATTTGCCTTAGGCGATGCCTCAGATAATTTCCTAAGTACCACGTCAGACATTGACTTATCAGGCACACGTTGGTTAATTTAATTACTAGATGCTAATAAGACTGATTCTGCTGACAGAAGTTATTCAATGGAATTTACAGGGTCTTTGTTCCCAGCTTCCTGGTTATCTGCCCATATGTTCCATCACAAGTTTTAGGACCCCATTTCTTCCCAATAAATGCCCTCACTTTAACATCAGATACTATTTGAGGTTGGAGATTCAGCGGGCATAATTTATCCACTCTTACAATAAAACTCTAAGTTTGATTTTCCGGAATATCAGCTTTATTCCTGGTGTGGTGCTGTAGGATCAGCACTGGACTGCGAACAATGTCAGCTAGGTTCAAACCCATCAGCTGCTTCTCAGAAACCCTATACAGGGTTGCTGAGTCAGAACCGACTTGATGACACTCAACAACAACACCACCATAAGAAGTAAGGTTTTCTTTCAGAGCACAAGTGGAAACTGTGAGGTCTTATATATGGCATTTGAAATGTGATGCTTTTGTCCTGAACTTATCTCTTTCCTTTACCATTTGATATATTGTAATTTGGATGACTCAACTAGTTTATCTATACTTCTTATCCGGACAAAATTGCAGAAAGTATCAAACATACAATCACCCAGATCTTTGCTTCTCTCTAATATGTGGACTATTGGTGGTGACATTTTGTGTATTAATATTGCCACCTCACACCATGGATTAGAAGCAAACTCACCCTCCCTACTAGTGGAAGCCGAGTTAACAGTGCCTTTAAAATCAGCAGACCTGAGAACCAATTAAGAAAACTTATCCTTATGATTAGAACCCCACTCTTGGTACCACGTGTCTTAGACATGTTTATCTAGAAAAGCAAAACCAGTGAAGCTTATGTATGTATATTATATGTGTGTATATATAAAGATAAGTTTATCTCAAGGAAAAAGCTCACACAGTTCTAGAGGTGGGCAAATTCCAAATCTGTATTTCTAATGAACCAAAATCTGCAGGTCAAATGACAAGCAGACAGATTGGGCAGGTAAGATGGCAGGCTGCTGATGACTTCCAGGATTAGCATGTAATAGAGCAGTCACTGGCTCAAGTCCCAAAACCTGAAGGTTGAATGACAAGCTAGATGCAGGATCCAGACCCAGCAGAAAGCACAAAAGCCTTGCCTGAGTGTTCAAGATACTGAAGGAGGTCATGCCCCTGAAGAAATTTCCTTTCAATTGATTGACTGCTCACAGTAGATCTCATTATATAGTTGACTGCATTATATTAGATCTCATCATGGGGGTTACTACGCATTAACTGTCAAACCAGTGAGAATCCTGGCACAGTCAGGTTGACCCAAAACTTTAACTATCACAACGACTCTATGCACAATAGAATGAAGCATTGCCCAGTCCTGTGCCATCCTCACCATTGTTGTCATCAGTGTGCCAATCAATTCCACTGGCAGTGTCTTCCTCTTTTCATTGACCCTCCACTTTTCTGAAACTAATATCCTTCCCCAAGGACTAGTCCCTCCTGACAACATGTCCAAAGCACATGAGACAAAAGCTCAGCATTCTTGCTTCCAAGGAGCATTATGACTGTACTTCTTCCAAGAACGGTGCATTTGTTCTTCTGGCAGTCCATGGCATTTTCAATATTTTTCTCTAACACCATAATTAAAATGCATTGATTCTTGTACAGTCTTCCTTATTCATTGTCAAACTTTCACAGACACATGTGGCCACCTTAATTCTCAAAGTGACATCTTTGCTCTATAACTCTTGAAAGAGGTTTTTTGCAGCAGATTTGTTTAATGAATTTTATCATTTGATTTCATGTTGCTGTTTCTATGTGCATTGATTAAATTTTTGACAACTTCAATTTTTTTTTCTCCATTTAGCATGATGTCATTCATTGGTCCACTTATGAATATTTTTGTTTTCTTTACATTGAGGTTCAATCCATGCTGAAAGCTGAAGCCTTTGATCTTCATCAGTAATCAACAAACATGGTTGTGTCATCTGCATATTGGAGGTTGTTAAGGAGTCTTCCTCTTGTTATAATCCAGCCTCTTGGTTATTTACTCAGAATACAGATTGAATATGTTGAAAGGATTCAACCCTGGCACACATCTTCCCTAATTTAAAACCATTCAGTATGCCCTTGTTCTGTTTGAACCATTGCCTTTTGGTCTTTATAAGAGCAACTAAGCATTCTGGAATGCCCATTCTTTGAAATGCTATTCATAGTTAGTTATGTTGTACACAGTTGAATGCTTTTGTATAGTCAATAAAACTCAAGTAAACTTCTTTTTGGTATTCTCTGCTTTTAGCTAAGATCCATCTGATGTCAGGATTGGTATATCTCATTCCAAGTCCTCTTCTCATTCTGGCTTGACTTTACGGCAGGTCCCTGGTGATATACTGCTACATTCATTTAACTTATCTTCAGCAACATTTTATTTGTATGTGATATTAATAGTATTGTCAGATGATTTCCGCATTCTGTTAGGTAACCTTTCTTTGAAATGGGTACAAATATGGATCTCTTCCAAACGTTTGGGCTTTTTTCTAAATTTCTTTGTATAGGCGAGTGAGTACCTCCAGTACTGCATTTGTTTGTTGAAACTTTTGAATTTGTATTCTGTCAATTCCTTGAGCATTGATTTTTGCCAATATTTTTAGTGTAGCTTGGACTTCTGCCTTCAATACCATCAGTTCTTAATCATATAAAATCTCTTGAAATGACTGAATATCACCCAATTCATTTTGGTATACTGACTCTGTGTATTCCTTTTATTTATTTATTTATTTTGATGCTTCCTTCATCATTCTATATTTTACCCATGTAACCAGATGCTTGAATTTTTTTCTTCAGTTCTTTCAATTTGAAAAATGCTGGGTGTGTTCTTCCCTTTTGGTTTTCTAACTCCAGTTCTTTGCACACTTCATTTTGATACTTCGCTTTGCCTTCTCAAGTTGATCTTTGAAATGCTCTGTTCTGCTCTTTCGTTTCATCATTTCTTCCAGTTGTTTCAGCTTCTCTACTTCCAAGAGCAGGTTTCAGAGTCTCTTCTGACATCTGGTCTGATCTTTCTTTCCTGTCTTTGTAATGACCTTTTGCTTTCTTCCTGTGTGATTTTTTAAAAAGTGTTTATTGTTAATTGAGTGATATTTTACATGGAAGAACATCAGCTTTACATTCATCCTATCGTATTTCATTTCATTGCAATGGTTACAATCCCCTCCATGCATCATCATTCAACAACATTTGCTTCCATTCCCTCTGTTTTTTTTTGGGTTTTTTTTTAACTACACCCAAGCACTCAGGAATATATAACCATTCAAACAACCAAAGGGTATACCCTGCAAGCCTGCCTCCCCTCCGGCTGCTAGCACACAGCCCCTCTCCCTCCTTGAGTCCAGGGTCCCCAGCCGCTCCATCTCTCCACATCATCCTCTCTGTCTCTATCTCTGGTGTCACTGCTTCTCGGGATAGGTTCCCACATTCTGCCCTTGATGGTCCCAGGGTCCTCCGCTCCTGGACAGCAAGATCAACCACTTCCCTCTTTTTGTTACAAAACTTCTACCTTTACATTTGCAACATTCACAATCAGTCCTTAGAGCACTTATTCACTATTGAATCACGAGAGTCTTATCCCCATCTCCTTTTACTAGCCCTGTCCAGACAGGTTGGAAACCACTCAATGGAGATTCTACCTTCCCCTGAACCCTCTGAAACTAGGCTCCCTCTTGAAAGCTTGTAAGCCAGTCACTTCGTGCCTTTGTAGCCACCCCACCCCACCCCATTTTAGGTAACTAATGTCTAAGTTGCCTATCCCTGTTAACCCTGTGTACCGAGGGGGTAGGAATGATCCTTGCTGTAAAGATTCATCCCCCCTTTTGAGCTACTACTAGGTCAAGTTCATAAAATTGTAGTGGATTACATTTTTTCCCTCTTCTTTCTTTCTCTAGTCAAGTTCTGATCATCCAGCCATGGGTACTATCTGCAAGTATGGGTGTTCTTGTGCATCTATCTCCCCTCACTTCATATCAGCTGGACGCTTCCTGTATGATGTTTTTAAAATCATCCCAAACTCTTTGTGTTTTCAGTCATTAGTGTCTAATGCATCACACCTACTCTTGAGATGGTTTCTAAGTTAAGGTGGGATATACTCAAGGCCATATTTAGGCTCTCATAGAATCATTTTCATTTTCTTCAGCTTCAATTTGAATTTACATATGAGCAATTGGTGGTTTGTTCCACTCTTGACCCCTGGCCTTGTTTTGGCTGATGATATTTGTCTTTTCACAGATGTAGTCAATTTGATTCCTGTATTTTCAATATGGTGAGGTCCGCCTGTATAGTTGCCTTTTGTGTTGTTGGAAAAAGGTATTTGTAATGAAGAAGTCACTGGTCTGGTAAAATTCTATCATGGGATCTCCAACTTTGTTTCTATTACTAAGGTCATATTTCCCAACTACTTATCCTTCCTCATTATTTTCAAC